TGCAAATGGGATGGAGCCAGAGAAGGAGGCCCGGGTAGCACCAAGAGGACAGTCGCAACGGTGGAACAAAATTATTCACCCTCGACTAAAACCTTTGTTGTCCTTAAAGGCGCCACTGGACTCTTAATTTTTTCCCACTGCTTCAGACCAACACAGCTGACCACCGGGATCTAGTCACAACGGTGCTTCACAATCGAGACACGATCCTGCCCCAGGGGCTTCAGGTGACCCAGGCGGGAAGGATAGCGAGCAGAAAAGGCATTCTGACTCTGGGAAGGAGGGGAGGTGATAGGGCACCCGTGCCCATGGATGACCGCTGGCAGGGGATGGTCCGCAGGATGGTGGCTGGACAGGTCTGTGGGGAGGGCAGAAACTTCTCCCCTCACCAAGGGGGACACTTTGTCCCCCCTCCCCCACAGGTGAGTGGCACCCTTTCCCTTCGATGGGAGAACATGAAGGGGGCCCCATCAGGCCGGGGTGGGGTGGGGTAAGGCTCTTCACAGTCAACCTATGAGCACCAACCTACGTAGCCCCATCCTGGAGTCTGCTCTTGGTCACACTTGAGTGCGAGGAGAGGACGCCGGACCCAGCTGCTGCACAAAGGCAAGAGAGGGGGTGGGATGCGTCACACTCGAGTCCTCCTTTGCCATGTTTTATGCCAATGTTTCTCTGTTATGTGTCCTTAGGCCTCTGTAGTTCTGCATTTGGGACAGGGGGAGGGAGTGTGCAAGAGTGTGCGTGCGCCTGCTTAGCTTCGTTGCCTAGTAACTGTTTTCAAAAGGGTGCCTCCCATACAATAGGAAGAGACTGAATGACCTTGGTGTCTGTCTGTGCTCACTGGCCTGTCTTAGGTAAGAAATTGTAGGTTCACAGGTGGGGGTGGGGGGCAGTGTTCCCTCCAAGCTGAGTTAGTGTGAGCTGGCTCGCAGTTTTTTAGCCTCTGGCTCACACATTTTTGTCTTATCTCAGGAAGGAGGGCTCCAGAACCAACTAATTTATGCCATAGGCAAATCGCTCGCTCACAACTTTAATGCCAGTAGCTCACCAAGTAGCATGTTTGCTCGCAAGACTCCACAGCTTAGGGGGAGCATTGGTGTGTGTGTGTGGGTGTGTGTGGGGGTGTGTGTGGGGGTGTGTGTGTGTGTGTGTGTAAGTATGCTCATTTAGGCGGGCTGAATGAATCGCGAGACTGGCCGGGCTTTGGGAGGGGGAGCTGTTTGAATGGGGGTGCAACTTTCGGGATGGCGCCTGTTTCAGCAGTTCTGACACAAAGAGTGTCCTAGCTTGTAGCATCTTTATATCTCAATAAACAAATCACTGAAAAGAGAACGCTGTTGAGGCTCAAGAGTTGGACAGGACGCCATGGCCGCCGATGCCCAGTCTTTGGCAAACGCAGGCTTTCCATGGGCAAAAACGGCTCCGCTTGAGCCCCTTCCTCTAAAAGAGGCAGCTGCCTCCAGACTCGCCCACTCCCACCTCGGCACCACCGATTTCTAAAATTCTCACATGCCTCGACAAGCACCGAGCTGCCCGTCTGCGAACAATTCGTCACTCATTTCTGACTCGAGCAGAGCGTTTCATGCCAAGGTGAATTACCCTCGCCCACGACCCGCTTCTTTCAGGCCGGGCTTCGGGGAGGCCGGTGACTGACAAGGGCTCTGATGAACTCTAATTACCGTCTCGGAAGCCTGAAGCAGCAACAAGAGCTGTGGGTGAGAGGGCGCGCCACCGCCACTCCGCTAATGAACTGAGGAAGTCTTTGGGGCAGACGAAGGGCAGTGACCCAGAAGGGGCCTCCACCGGCCTCCCCACCCGGCCCTTGCGTGTCACGTTCAAGTTGGGGCACTCTTCCCTGCTGCTGTCAGCAAAACTGAATATAGCAAGCTCAGCTCCTCACCCGACAGCAGCAAGCTAAAGAGCGAGGGGGGGGGGGGGGGGAGAGGAGATTTAGCACTAAGCAGCTTAAAGAAGGTCTGTTTCGTTTGGCTCCACCGGTTCAGCGCTGGCTCCAAGGTCTGAGGGGGGCTTCTTAACTGAGAAAAAAGGTGGGGCAATCAAACTTTCGGCCTTCTCTGGCTGCCCTGCAGAGAACAGGGAGTAGAGGCTCTCTGGCAGTGGGTGCCCTGAGCAGGGAATCCTTGCAGGGCAAGGCGAGTCACAAATTTAGCAGGAAGGTCTCTTACGGAAGAGCAGCCGCTGACGCAAGCTTGGGGTGTCTCCCGCCTCCCCTGCCTCTGCCACCCAAGGCCGCTCCCCTTCTCCTGTCAAGCGGAGCAGCGTTAACAATGGCAGCTCCAGGAACCGGCTCTCCTGGCCCTAATGATGCTTGCGGCCAGAACGGTGCAGCAGGTGCGGCTGCTCACACGCAAAGGCGGCCTCGGCACACGGCCTGCCGCTGCACCAGCCAACTCCAGCTTTTGGGGGGGGGGGGAGCAATAAGGCAGGCCTCGACAAGTTCTCTCCAGCTTTAAGAGCCACCTCCAAAACTTTAAGAGCCAGGAGTTATTTTTAAGCTTCAGGGTTTTCTGCTTTAACGACCGTGGTCTCTCCTTATGGCTACCCACAAAACCTAACCCTTCGGTTTGACAATTTTTTAAAGCGATAGCAAGAGCACTGTAGGGCAGAGGTGTCAAACTCATTTGTTACGAGGGCTGGATCTGACATAAATGCCACTTTGTCGGGCCGGGCCACGTGTGCCATAAACGTACTGCCAGGTACCAGAGATATAAAGTGTATAAAGGACAGCAGCTGGTAAGCTCCAAGTTGGTGTATCCTCACTGCAACGACCCATGGGCTGGGTGGGAGGTGCAAAGGACAGCCCATATAGGCGGACAGGAGAGCCAGCGGTGCAGCACTGGGCGTAGACACTCCCACGCTGCTTGACTGCCGCAAACGAGGTTGTTCTGCCACACTGAAGCCACAGTCGGAGTCGTTCCACCCACTCCCCCCCCCCCGAGCAGTCTCATGTTCCCTCCGTTACGCTAGCTGCTCGTGGGCCGCATAAGAGACCTGGATGGGCCAGTTCTGGCCCCCCGGGCCTTATGTTTGACACCCCTGTTGTTGGGTATGAATAAATATGGGGTAACCCTAGTCGTCATCACAACAAAAAGCTAACCTCCGTCCCTCACCTGAGAATCACCAAGAGGAGGGCTTAACTGGGATCCTTCCAATAAATGACTGACAACAATATTACGTGCCACAATGAAATTTCTAGGCACCATGGCACCCTGGTGTCTGGGATTTGTTGTGCCCTGTAATAACCTATATAACAGGATGTCTGTCTGCCTCACATCTGGCACAAGATGCTGAACTGGCTCAGGTGGCTCACTAAATCTCCTCCTGCACCCCCCCCCCGCCATGTTGGGAGGAGGAGGAGAGTCCACCAGTTTCCAATAAATGGTTAAGGACCCCAGAGATCTCAGGGCACAGGATGTCCCTGCCATCTTCCTGCCATCCCAGGGCCACAACAGACCATCATTCGCGTCTCCCTCAATACACACAGAGCTAACCATCCACCTCTTCCCTTGGACCAAAGGTCAAGCACACAACTTTGCGAGAGCAGCCTCTTGTGAGGATCAGGGTACTCCAGAGGCTAGGGAAGATTGGAGAATAGAGAAAGGGCCTTTTTGGGATGTGGTGCCAACCATGAGATGCCCTCCCTAGACAAATCCATGAGGCATTAACATTCCAGTGGGGGACAGGAGGAGGAGGAGAGATTGGATTTATAACCCGCCCTTCACTACCCAAAGGGGTCTCAGAGCGGCTTACAAACTCCTTCCCCTTCCCCTCCCCACAACAGACACCCTGTGAGGTAGGTGGGGCTGACAGAGCTCTAACAGAAACTGCTCTTTTTCAAGAACAGCTCTTATCAGAGCTACGGCTTGCCCAAGGTCATCCAGCCAGGTGCAAGTGGAGGAGTGGGGAATCAAACCCGGTTCTCCCAGATTAGAGTCCGCACACCTAACCACTACACCAAACTGGCTCTTACTCACCAAGGCTTTTAATGGACGACAAACACAGCCATCATTTGATCTCTGGCTGCTTTTTTATTTGTTGTCTTACCTATTTGGCATTTGCTCTGTATTTTAAATGGTTTGGACTTGTTTTGCCTCTGCGATTTTTGCTGTTTGCTTTGGACACCTTGAAGGGTAAAGGAGTATAGAAGATTCTCAAATAAACATTTAAACAGAGGCAACACACCTCGTTTCCGTAGCCTTGAGGACAGCAGACGTCTCTCAAGCTCACAGCGTCTGCACTCAGAGGTCACAGACAATTTTTTTTTCCTGCTGCAGACAGACGTGAACCTTGCAAAGTGTCACCGTCTCACATTCCCGCCCTCCCTCACGTAGGACGCTAAGACCAATGAAAACCTTCCAAAACATACCAACTAGTCATGCCACACAAATGAACAAACTGGAGTTAAGTCTCCTTCCTAACAACTGGGCTTCTCAATCAGAGTTAAGCCCTGGTTAAGAACACTGGCTGCCAGGAGGGAGGCCACCTCAGACATTGTGACTAATCAGTTGTAAGCTTCCACTTTTCATCTGGGCACACCGGAGGCAGTGAGTGTACAAGCCCAGCATTCCACCTACTGAGATGTTGAGGCACTGCCCTAAGCCATAATGAAACTTCATTAACCACAGTTTAGCATGAGGTCCAAACTGTCAAACAATAATTTGTAACCAGCTGAGGCTCGTGGTCTGCAAACCATGATTTCAGCTAGCTGTGGTTTAGCACAATGTGCGGGAAGCCACAGCTACAGCTTCACTTCTGGAGTCTGCTGGACCTCAAGAAGCGAGAGCTGAGCACAAGGTGGACAGCGAAAGCAGGCAAGCAGCTAGGAGTGATGGCTGGCCTGTGTTGCCCATGTGGGCAGTCAGGCCACGGTTTCAGTCCACTCCTGGAGCAAAGTTGGCATCCGCCACGGTTTGAGGAAAAACATCCAAATTCAACTAGAGAACATTCCAAACTTCTGCTAGCTCTGAATATGCCACACTCACCAAATCGATCAGATCGCTGAGGTTCTTCTCAATCTGCTGGGGAGGCAGACGCCTCATCAAATCCAAGGCACAATCCAGCTGCTGGTCACTCTGGGGAAAAGAGACACCATTGGAGTCACTCACAAGAAACAGCATACAAACACGTACGGCTGCCATATTCAGAATGAGACCGTCAGTCCAGTTAGCCCATCGTTGTAAACTCTCCCTCAGGGACCTCAGACAGAGGGTCCAACCCCAACAATGACAGCCCAAGATCAACAGTGGGTCTTCATGCATACCAAACACAGGTACTGCCTAGAGATGTGAAGGCCTGGAAAAAAACTGGGTTTTTTCCGGTTTTTTCCTGAAGCCTTTTTTGTTTTTTTCCAAAAAATTGGAAAAATTGAAAAAAAGAAAAGAAAAAAATTGATTATGGAACGTTTTATTTTAACATGATGAATAAAATATTTTAAGACAAGGTGTTCAAATATTTTCCAAATCATTTCTAAAATATATATATATGGTTATATATATATGGTATCAGATTGATCTAATTTCTGTGCACTGAGGACAAGCAAGTCTTAGGTTACAGACTGAACTCTCCAATGCAAGAACAAGATGCATTTCTTCCTTTAGGAGGTGTGATTGTCAGAAGAAAATAAAAAAGTTTCAGTTTTGTTTTTGCATGTGGTTGGGTATTCTGTTTGTAATAATTGTTTGGATACACTATATTTTTAATATACTAGTTGTGATAATTTCATGCCAAGTAAAAATGGCCATAGTCATATTTTATGTTCCTAAAGTAACAGAATGACTTTCAATCTAGAAAAGACAAAAGAAATGCTAATGTAGCATTTTTTCAATTTTTCCGAAAATTTCCATTTTTTCCCGGAAAAAAACAGGGAAAAAATGGGGTTTTTTCCAAGCTTCAAAATTTCCGGAAATTTTACATCTCTAGTACTGCCATTGACATATGGGCCCATCCCAGTGTCGTATGCACACCCCAGGGATAAAGTGCATTGCAGCACATATTTGGTGACACAGGCAACCTCTCACCTGTATGGAAATCCATTGATCAGGCACACATAATGAAATGTTTTACCTGGCTGCTCGGTAACTATGCAATTCCCACCTAAAGACCCACCCAAAGGATTCCAAGCCCTCTAAGTTGGCCTTAAGGGGCTAGTCCAACAGTAAAAAGCCCAATAGCACATTTAAGATCAACAAACTTTATTGTAGCATGAGCTTTCAAGAAACACAGCTCTCTTCATCAAATGCATCTGACGAAGAGAGCTGTGTTTCTCGAAAGCTTATGCTACAATGAAGTTTGTTGGTCTTAAAGGTGCTACTGGGCTTTTTAATATTTTGCAGCAACAGACTAACATGGCTAACTCTGTCACCTCTGACGAATACCCACCGCTTCCTGGAAACCCAGTGACCCTACTCCTGCTGGGATGGAAGACCACAGTGACACAGTTATATGCACCGTCTCAGACAGGACAGCACCCCAGGTTCCCTTCTGGACTTGCTGCAACTGGTTCTTAAGCAGAGCTGCATGAACACAGTCTGTCGTGGCACCCCCAAAATGATTCCAGGGGACCTTATCAGGAAAAACAGGGGTGCCATATTTATGACTAGAGGCTAAGAGAAAAACATGCAGAAAGCGAAGGACTTGGCTGAAGAGAGAGAAGCATGCACTGCAGGAAAGAAGTTCTGGAATTTGTCATCTGGACTCAATGGGGAAGAGCCCCAAGAGCCTGAAGGATGGGCTGTTCCAAGACCTTTTGCACACTGTTCTCAGCACCACTGCTGCCAGGAGCCAAGAACACGCAGGGCACCATCCATCACCGGCCAACAGTGTCAGCGCTTCCTACTTTGCAGGAGCCTGAAATGCTAGCCCTGGACGGAATCTCCGGTATGAATTCTTCAGAGGTCACAGCGCTGCCAGGGCGCCATGCTTGCAAGCTCCCAGGCAGACAATGGAGGACTTGCAGGCTGACCCAACAGAGAGGGGTCCCTCCTGGGGACTCCTTAGCTCAAGGGGAAAATGCACCCCCAACTGCTGCCTTCTCTCACACACACAGCAAGCTGCCATACGCCCTGCCCCGCTGCCTGGAAGAGATTCCTTGCCCCTCGCCCAGTCCTCTGCAACACATTCGTACAAGCCCGGGTTAACTGAGGCAAAAAGAAGTGTACTTAAACTACTTGCCACAGGAACAGAACTCTTTAATTCTGGCAAGGGTGCAGAATGAGAGATCCATGCCCCCTTCTCCTGATCCCAGGGAAATACGGGGGTTCCTGGGGGCCTGCAGCTCAGTGCAAAAAGACAGAGTGCCTCCATGGGCAAGTGAGGAGGGACTTGCTCTGCTACGTCAGGTCACATCAGTCAAGACTTTACCCTTACCGGGGTGGGGGGTGTGGATCATGGCAACCAAAGGTTCCGGATTACTACACAGATGTGGACCCCCGGGCGTCAAGTCAAAGGGAGCCAAGTGTTTGTTCTCCAGTACATCGGATAAGGACAGGGAAGCATCAGAGACAAAAAGAGGGCTGTTCTCAGTACGCCACAGCCCAGGGAGCTCACACAGTCATAGAATCATAGAACGTTAGAGTTGGAAGGGACCTTGCAGTTCATCTGGTCCAACCCCCTGCACTCTGCAGGAGCATAGCCAAAATACGGTCGTCCAGCCTCTGCTTGAAAACGGCCAGCAAAGAAGCATCCACTACCTCCCGAGGCAGACTGTTCCACTGCTCAACCACGCTTACAGTTATGGAAGTTTCTCCTGATATTTAGCCGGTAACGACTCCCTTGTAATTTCCACCCATTAGATCTAGTCTTGCAATCCGGAGCAAGAGAGAATAGATCTGCTCCATCTTCTACATGACAGCCCTTCAAATACTTGAAGACTGCAATCGTGTCCCCTCTAAGCCTTCTCTTTCCCAGGCTAAACATACCCAGCTCTTTCAGCCTTTCCTCGTAAGACTTGGATTCAAACCCTCTCACCATCCTGGTTGCCCTCTTCTGGACACGCTCGAGTTTGTCAACATCCTTCCTGAAATGTGGTGCCCAAAACTGGACACAGGACTCCAGGTGAGGCCTGACCATAGCAGAATAGAGCGGAACTACCACCTCCCGTGATCTGGACACAAGGCATCCTAAGATTGCATCCTAAGATTGCATTAGCTTTCTTCACAGCCACATCGCACTGCTGGCTCATGTTTAGCTTGTGATCAACCAGAACACCCAGATCCCTTTGAGATGTGCTGCTGTCAAGCCAAGTCAAGACTAAGATGTTAATCATCCCAAGCTAACTCCCACCTACTCAAGCAACACTTTCCCTGGCTTTCTTGGATCAGTGACAGGTCACCAAAGAGTGGGGTACGCAGATCACTACCGTGAGAGGCAAGAACCCTAGTTACATGGTCCTCACGGATCCCTGGGACAAGAAGCAGTGACCCAACCTCTGGCACACCAGCCCTCAAGTGAAGCTGCTGAAGCAAGCTGAGGCATTAACCCTGGGTCTGGGGTAACAGATCAACGAGAACAAGCAACAAGGAACCACACCTAGCAGCTGTCACCAAGTATTGTTCTTGGGAGTGAACACAGGACCACCACAAGCACAGAGGAGGAGGAGGAGGAGGAGGAGGTTAGATTTATACCCCGCCCTTCACTCGGAGTCTCAGAGTGGTTTACAAGCTCCTTTCCCTTCCCCTCCCCACCATAGACACCCTGTGAGGCAGGTGGGGCTGAAAGAGCTCTGACAGAAACGGCTCTTTTTCAAGAATGGCTCTGATAGAATTACGGCTTGCCCAAGGTCATCCAGCAGCTGCAAGTGGAGGAGTGGGGGAATCAAACCCAGTTCTCCCAGGTTAGAGTCCGTGCACTTAACCACTACACCAAACTGGCCATTCCTCATGGCAGCCATTAAAGGACAGCCAGACAGCCAAGATCCGGCTGTCCCTCGGCTCCTGCCCCCCCCCCCAGAAGACTTCCCACCTGATCACTGACCTGTGCAGCTCTTCTGTCCCCTAACCTTTCATTGCCGAACATATAAAGCTGCCTAATGCCTGGTCACATCATTAATCTATCTAGCTCAATATTGCCTGGCCATGGCTGGCTCTCCAGAAAAAGATCTCATACAACGTCTGTGATCCTCTGAACGGAGGTGGTGGGAACAGAACTTGGGCCCTTCCGCCCCTGCGGAGGACTGAGCTTGCAGCCCCCTTGTCAGCAACGTTCCCGCTCAGTTAGTGTGAACTAGCTCACAGTTTTTTAGCCTCCAGCTCACACATTTTTGTCTTTGCTCAGGAAGGAGGGTTCCAGATCAAACTTATTTATGCAGTAGCCAAATCGCTTGCTCACAACTTTAAGGCCAGTAGCTCACAAAGTAGAATTTTTGCTCACAAGACTCCACACCTTAGAGGGAGCATTGCTTGTCAGCCTGTACACCATTCTTGCAGGGAACCATCTAGCTTTCTGCACAGTGCCTGGGTTAATAATCAAAGCAGACCCGCCGTTATCTACTCCAAGACGGAAAAGAAGAGTTAAGCAGCAGACAAGTACATTTTTAAAAACTGAAAAGGAGAGTTTGCTTGATTTTTAGTTTCTCAGAGTGCCACAAAACATCAGCATTTGTGAGCAGTCAGAGAGTCTGTGGGCTAGGGGCTTTGCCAGACCTATCTGCAGGGCTGCAGCCACCCAAGGATTTCCAGCACCCTGACCCCCACCACAGGTGTCTGAAGCCACTGAGGAACGGAAAGGCATCGTGTAATTAATGCGGACTTGAACAGAGTAACTGGGTGTCTGTGCGCACACCAACACACAGAAACATGACTAACAGGAGCTATTTCCTATGCAGAAGTTCAGCTCTTTTGTTTTAGCACAGAGGCAGGAATCCATTTCACTTTCTCCCCTTTGCTTCTCCATCCTGGGGGCGGGGGGGGGGCCCTGCTGTTTAGATTGGCCAGCGAACACGCAACTCTAGCTGCTAACCTCGGAAAGGGGATCCTTCTGACCACATATTGTCATTGCCTCCCACTGCTTCTTACGCATCTTTGTAACAAACCCACCAAAAGCCCACAATTGCAAGGTCAGGTTCTCAACTCTGGGA